CTAACTTGTTTGTCAAAGCCAATGAAGGTAAGCTAGCTATCGTGCTAGTGTACGTGGATGACTTAATCATAACCGGTGATGATGAGGCAGAAATTCTTCAGACGAAGGAGAATTTATCAGTTCGTTTCCAGATGAAGGAACTTGGACAACTTAAGCACTTCCTTGGTCTAGAGGTTGATCGCACACACGAAGGAATATTTCTATGTCAACAGAAATATGCTAAAGATTTGTTGAAGAGGTTTGGAATGCTCGAATGCAAGTCAACTTCAACGCCAATGGAACCAAATATCAAAATGTGTGCATATGAAGGAAAAGATTTGGAAGATGCAACAATGTATCGACAATTGGTAGGTAGTCTGATCTACTTAACCTTGACCCGACCTGACATTTCTTATGCAGTTGGTGTGATGAGTCGGTATATGCAAAATCCAAAGAAGCCTCATTTGGAAGCAGTTCGACGAATACTGAGATATGTGAAGAATACAATTGACTATGGTCTTTTGTACAAGAAAGGTGAAGACTGCAAGTTAGTTGGTTATTGTGATGCTGATTATGCAGGAGATCAACAACTGGATATGTGTTTAAGCTTGGCTCCGGAACAATTTCTTGGTGTAGCAAAAGACAACCAATGGTATCATTGTCAACCACTGAAGCTGAGTATCGAGCAGCAGCAATGGCAGCTCAAGAGAGTACATGGTTGATACAGTTGATGAATAATCTACATCAACCAGTAGATTATGCAATTTCGTTGTATTGTGACAACCAATCGGCAATTCGACTAGCGGAGAATCTTGTCTTTCATGCAAGAACTAAACATGTGGAAGTATATTACCACTTTGTTAGGAAAAAAGTTTTGCAAGAAGCGATTGAGATGAGGCAACTCAAGACAGATGAGCAAATTGCTGACTTGTTTACAAAAAGCTTGAGTGTTGGAAAGTTTGAACATTTCCGTCGTCAGCATGGCGTGATTCAAAGAATGGAGGCTAACATTGAGGGGGAGTGTTGAAAATTCAATATTAGCCTAAATAAGTTCACACCTAAATTAATTTGATGTCATTGCTTACATCAATTTAGTTTTGATGTCATTGTTTACATCAATTTAGTTAGGTGAAAATTAAGTATTTTTCTCATGTTTTAATTTCAATGGTTTAGATTATTTAGTGCTTATTTTAATGAGTGGTTTAGATTGTTTCTTGTAACCTATAAATACCCTACTTGTATTTGAGTTTTATCATCCAACAATCAAAGCTTAATTATAAGCATTTGAAAGCTTTCTTAAGAGTTCTTCCCTTTTGTAATTTTGTGAGATTATTCTAAAGAGTTTTTTTTTCTTCTTCTTGATCAATTAGAGTTTTTACTCTATTTTGATTCAACATGAACAGAAGTCCAGATTAACCTATTATAAAAAATCATAGAGGTGGGAAAAGGTACGAAGGATCTTCTTCAGAAAGGCTGGATAATTGAAAATGTAAAATTTGCTTACCTGAACTGTGCATGTCCTAAACATCATATCAAGACCAAGTGAGCCAACTTTAGGCATGTAATTTCTCATTATCTCATATCTTCCCTGAACAAAAGTACTAGGTCAGACTATAATAAAATGATAGGATGATAAATTAGAAGTAGCAAAGATAAGGTATCACAAAGGTGAAAGATGAGAAAAAAAACGACATGTACTACATCTATAAAGTAATATGTGATTTATACTTTTTATTCGATTTAAAACCATAAAATGTAGTCAGTTTTACCTTAGGCATGGAATGTCCTTTATTCCCAATTTGGGCTGGAAGCCAATCCCTAGGAATCCAATTCCCATTTATTCTGCAACAGCTTTAACCTAGTAACAGGGTAACAGAGGCATGATATGTACTGAAGTGGGACTGGAAAGGTTAAGAGTACTTGAAAAAATTAACTAAAGAAACGGATAACTAGATAATACTTTTAGAAGTGATTACTTCCTGACAAGTTTGAAGTGTTCTCCACAATCTAATTTAGATGATTTAGAAGTTATCACAAAAACACATTATCTTTGGCAGTATGAGTCTTGACATAGTCCAAATCCTTGATAGATGCTACTTCTGCATGCAGTTTCTTAAGAATGTAGAACTTACTTAAAAGGTAGCACTAGATTATTCTTTTCTCTTTAACAAACCTGATAGAGGTTTGAATTGACCTCGGCACATGTTTGATGCAAAGTTTCAAGAGGTACACCGCAGAGCTCAAACTGGCCCCTGGGTTCCAATGATATGATTTGCTTCCCCTAACCAAAAAATAAAGGTTTTCCGAAAATTCCCTATGAAAATAAGAAGAAAACAAGAATGCAGGTAGCCTGTAATGCAAAGTCTCTTCTTAAATAGAATTGCTAAGCATTGCAATTAATAGCATAATGAACCACTATAAGTAAAGAGAACAAGTTTACCTGTTTAAGTCCAATAATTTTATCACCTTCCTTTACTTTATCCCAATTAAATCTCTCTGAAATACCATTCAGCAATTCTGCTATTTGTTCATATTTCATAGGTTGCAGAGTTTTGATCTCGAAGCCAAACTTTTCATGCTCTGTACCTATTCTGAGTAAACCAAATACTTGCATCAGCAAACAAGTATAAATATAGAAAGTGGGCCAATTTGCTAATGGAAAGATTTAAACTATAATTGGATCCAATATAAAAACTAAAAGCATATCAAGGACCAAATATGGCTAGCTATTGATATAAATACTAAAATATCATGTGTGAAACTGGTGATATACAAGTTTAAAAGCATAAAAAGGTCAACATGATAACTTCATCTCGGATAAGAATTCAAGAGCGTAAGAGATACTCTAATCCAAACAAAACAAAGGAGAATTTTTACCTCCAGTTTTCCTTGGGCTTACATCCAGATTCAAGGTATCCAACAAGATCCTCTTTCGTCAATGGTTCAGTAGCAACCACAGCATCCTCTGTGGGAGGGCTTGCCGCAACAATCAAACTATTCCTTCTTTTGCCTCGAAATCCCAGAGTTTCTAAAGGAAGCTTACGTGCTATCTTCACATTGTTGCATGAAAAAAGAAGAAAAACCGAAAGATTTTTTCTTCATAAGAGGAACCTCAACATTTTTCACCATACCAAAGGCCACATTCTGCTCGGTTCCACCCACTTTATATAATATATAGTTTTTAAAACATATATAATATATAAAAAAAACTTTTTTATGTAGGTTTTGAAAACGTTTTTAATATATATAATATTAGTATCTTTTTTTCTTTTTATTTATTATTAATATTTTTATTTATTATCTTTATTTTTTATTTTTTGTTCTTTTTAGGGGGTCTAAGAGTGTCCGGGTCCAGCCAATATCCCAATCGGGTTTGGGTCTGACCTAGCCCAATCTTGAATTAGGGTTTTCACGTTTCAGCCAAGGCGCCGCATAAGATGAAACAACCTACGCACGTGGCGGTCACGCGCCAAACGACCAGTAGAATTTCCGTCCGAAATCTCCGAGACTGAACCATCCCAAAGCGACTAGTATCACGAACGACCAAACGACGTGCACAAGAATATCGGAATGAGCAAATAGCCCATGAACCCACCCATTTCAGGGCTCAAAACGGCCAAAACCGGGGTTATAAAAGCCACGGTGAGGCCAAGCAACGGGGAACGATCGGAGAGCAACCCAAACACGAAATAACGATCCAACAACAATATCGGAACACAACAAGCAACCGAGAGCACAAAACCAATAAACAGAGAGAAATGAAAACATCGAGCAAAAGAAAAACAAAAATCAAGTAACAGTCGGCCAAAACCGAAAATAACCAAACCAAAAAGTCAAAAAACATAAAAGGCAAGGCTTTTTCCCATCAAGGGTCGGCGGGAGTGCGTGGAAGCCTCGTCGGAGAAGTGGAAGCCATCGGAAGTCGAAAAGCCACCACCGAACTAAGGTAAAAACGAACGATTTCGGCTTAGAACTGCGATGATTGGGTTTCTTTTAGAGGAATCGGGGTTCGGATTTGGGTTTATGGGGTTAAGGAGAGCATTTTGGGTGAATTTAATTTTTTCTAACGGTCGAAGCGACGGTCGACACGACGGGATGGCCACTGAACGGTGGTCAGTCGTCGAGGAAAGGGAGAGGGATTAAGAGTGACTTGGTGGAGAGAAACTTTTTTTTGGGTTTGTGATGAAATGTTTTTTTTAGTTTTTGGGTTATATATAGACGAGTGACTAAAGGGTAAATAGAAGATTTTTAAATTATTTCTACAGTCCCTGTAGTTTTGATGTGTAATTCATTTTGGTCACCTGTTTCAATTTTGTTTCTGAATTTTTAATTTATTCAATTTAATCCATATTCACATTTTTTATATTTTGCAATATAACCCCTCTAACTTTTTTTCTTACAGCCTATAATTAATGTCAATTCATCATTTAATGTTTAGTTCCTTTCAATTTAGTCCTTTAATTAGAATTTTCATTTACATTTTTTTCCTTTTTATTTTATTTCATTTTCATTATTATTTTATTATCCCTTTTAATATTTTTTTATTTTTTAAAATTATTATTCTTTTTGATAATATGATTTTACTTATTTATTTATTTATTATTATGTTTTTAAAAAAAACTTTTTAACCTTTTTCTTTCCCCTTTTATTTGATATTTATTTTTTATTTTTTATTCAATTTAACATTCTTTTTGACTTTTTCATTAGTAGTTTCAATCGATCAAAGGTAAATAGTTCGAATTAAATTTTTAAATTTTAATTTCAATTTTCGCAATTAAGACAACCGACAAATTAATTGGTACCGAAAGGGAAGTAAAAGGGTGCTAATTTTTTCTTGATTGTGACTCCCGAACCCAACATATTTATGGTAAAACGCAGATCAAGTAAGATGATGTCCGATCAGCCTAAATATTTTTTTAAATGATTGGTGGCGACTCTAGCACTTTTATTTCAAGTCGAAGCCCATTTTCGGGCCCACCCGAAAGACGGCTGTGACAAAACTAAAATAAGCATCAACTGCAATGTTGAAGGAACATTCAGTATTGCTCACTTTGTGCGACGTTGGTTTTCAGTCTCTTAGCGGCAGTTATGAATTCCGAGATCACCCTTACGTCGTTGAGTGGTGGCTGTATCGAAGAAATGATGTTAGAGCCAGACAGAGGGGGCTTAAGTGTGGTGTGTTTAAACGCATTTGTTCTCCGAGAAGGTAATATACCTGTGACACGAAATGCTGCTGCACGGTGTTAAGCATTAGTTCCCTCGGTGAATAAGCATTGATGCTACCCTACAAATCAAAACCGAACCCCTTATATTAGATAAATGTAGTTTTGTCTATCGAAGAAAATTCATCGGGGTTACGGTTTGTAGTGCCTACAAGTTTGAAGTGCCTGCAATATCTTCTCAAGGAGTCGCTGTCGAGTCTTGCCAAGTTTACCTTCGGAATCAAGAAACACATGTCAAATACAAAGGTTTCATTTTTCCAACAAATAGGGCACCGGATTTAGGTGCGTGTTGTTATACAAAAAGGTTTAGATGAATGCTGCAAAGTTTGATACTAACCAACTGGGGTGCACTGATAATGGATTGAACAACTCTAAAACTGATCCGGTTAGATGCTTTCATGGATGCAGATGGAACCCATGGTTTCGTATGTCGAACTCTCGGTTTAGAAACCCTCTGGAACTCAATGCTACTAGCTGTTGAAAGATGGGACAAAAAAAGGGCCTCGTCACAACGTTAAATTTCACATGAACAAATTTTTAGCTTATTGTGAAATGAAACCATGGTGGTTCTTACCAATGTCCGAGCCACTGCTTGAGTTATCGAAATCATGATCACCGTCTACTTCATTCCCTGTAGGGTGTTCGAGCACACTCAATGCATTCCTTTGCAGCTTTACTTCAACCCCGTTCTTTAAAACCTTTGAAAACGAGCACTAGCGTCACTCATTACAATTGACAAACAAAGCCTGTTGAGTAACATTCTTAGCTGTAAAAGGATTCACAACTACGACAGCAAAAGTTAAAGCTATTAGCCATGCACAATACAAATCGAATAAAATTGTTTACCAATCAATTTACAAACAGAAAAATAAATTCTCTCCTTTTCCCTCATGAAAAGAGATTTTGCTGTACAAATGGATCACGAAAATGTTTTAATAAATCCTACGTCGGTCCGACCGTGGATTTTAACATTGTTTTGGGGTTTCCAACCATTCAGTCTTCAAAAAAGCTGAGTTTAAAGCAAATAATAATCCAGGGCTGTATACTATATAGTTTCCATATGAGAAAATCTTGCCTTGTCAAGTTAAAGAATGCCAGGTAGTTAATATAAACAAACGAATCATATATGCAAGAACCAATGGATAACGATAACTTTACACATTCGAGTCGATTATAAATTATAATGGTTAAGGAGAATACCAGCCAATGCCAACCACCGAGGCCGACCGCCTTCTTGACGACACCTTGCAAACCAACCAATACAGACTTTGTTCTATTGTTTCCGGTGACGATAACTTTTGTGTGTCTCGGAAGAACCGAAAGCTCTTCGTCACAGATTTTGTCTCGAGACGGAGAAAGAATCCGAGAACACAGTTCATGCTGCTGCTGCTGCAACTGCAACATTTTGTTCCCGAAGTGCAACTGTTGAAACTAAGCTAAATTGGTACTCCCTCAATCCAAATTCCCAGATTCTCAAAAAGAAAAGTTGACTTATAACTCATCAACTCAGTACGTTCATTTGGGTGTTTTTTTTTTGTAGTCAAGGATTTTGAGCTTCGTTCATGACCCTGTAAAAACAGAAGACAAAGTACAGAGAGAATCCCAGATTTTTATGAACTGTAATCAATTTGAAAGAGTGAGAGATTGAGTCACTAACACGAATAGTTTGAGGGGTGAGTTGAATGCCGAGTCTTGGCTATGGAGAATCCAATGACTGAGTCACGGGCTTTGATTGATTTCAATAAATGAAACCCAAAAATAGAAGGAAAAAAGGAGACGATGTTATTTCATCACTAAGATTCTGCTGATATCACCTGAAACAAAACACAGTTGAAATCAAAAACCCTAATTATTGAGAAACTTGAAACGATCAAAGCTGACAACATGTTTAATCAACAACCCGTGAAAAAAACGAAAAGAAAACTTTTTAAAACTAAATTGTGTACCATATCAAAAGCCAAGATAGAGAAATCATGTTTGGTTGCTGAGGAAATTTAAACTGTAAAAGGAAATGGAATCTCAAACAACTAAAAACGGTTTAAAAGTGAATAAAACCCATTTAACCACATAAGGTAAGCATAAGAAATTCAGCTCTAAAACAAGAAATCAATAATGGCTACTCGGTTATATTACAAATATCCCATTGTTCTTTAAAGAATAAAACAAACAGAAAGTTAAAGAATAGCTAAAATTCTCTTTGCTGCATTTTCCAGGAAACTAGTTGAGAGAACAAAAAAAATTTGAAGATTTTGGCATCAAAAGAGCAGTCTTTGTGACTATAAATTTCTGCTCAAATTACAAAATAAATTCATAGTGTTATAAAAGGAATTTTCCATTGAATAAAAGAGAATAAACCCAGAAAAATTTATTGTACTTGCAAATGGGAAACGATTTCAAACAAGGAAGAAGACAGAGTACGAGGGTGACGGGTCCGAAAATATTTGATTTCAGGGCAAGAAAATCGGGTTTAGTAATGGATCTGAATTCTGAAATGAAATGTTGTTCTTTATGAAACTAACAATGGATAAGGTAAAAATAAACGGATTTGTGTTTGGCAAAGAGAAACCGGAAATGCACAACCCTGAGAGAGAGTGAAAGAGAGGAGACGAAGTACAAACGGAAAGTTTAATCCTCTTCGGAATTTTCACTAATACCCTTTGAGTTTTTTTTTTTTTGGATAATATAACTTTTGGCCAGTTTGGGGCTTGATTTTTTTGTTCACATTAGTCCTTAACTTGATAATTTTATTCAATTTGATCTCTAGACTTTGATTTTTAATCATTTGAGTGACATGACAGACACTCTCAAAGGCTACGCGGAACGTCATTGAGGTCAGAGGGAGTCCTGCCCCCAAAAGTTTGGAAACTTAATTTTTAGTTCTTTTAAATTTTAAAAAATTTAATTTGGGCCCTTTAAAAGTTTTAACTTTTTTGTTTTTATTTTTCAAATATTTTCAAATTAAGTCTCAGAAAATTTAAAAAATTAGTTAAATCCCTAATATTTTTGAAAATTTTAATTTAAACTTTCAAAATTTTTAAATAAACCTCCTAAATTGTGTTGCCAGGATCTACCACTGGACACTCTAATATTATTCTATATTTAAAAATATTATTTTTAAAAAAATGATAATGTGGTTCAATTTTATAGTATCTTACTGTAAAAGGAAACTAAAAACTATGTTTAAAAATGAAATTACAGAAAGTTATCAAATTATAAAATTTGTATAAATAAAAAACCTTCAAAATAAATCTATAATTAAATATCTAATTAATCCTTCAAAAAAATTTGGTAATTAACTGAAATATGTTTGCTTACATGATTATACATTTTTATTTAAAAAAATAAAATCACTATACCTACAAGAATGAGATAAATAATGAAATCATTCAAATTGTTTACCCTTTTAATGATATAGTAATACTTTTAGATTGTGATATGTCATCGTATAAAAAGAAAAATATATTTAATTGGGTAAATTACATTTAAGATAATTTTATTTTTAGCATGTCTTATTTTAGTTATTAGTTTTGAAATAATTATATGTTGATCATTTACATTATGGGTTCATTACTCTTTGATCACTAAACTACTAAATCTTGATAGTTTGATGGCATGATATAATAATAAAAATCATTTTTAATTTAGATTTTAAATTTTAGATAAAATTTTAATTTAACCTTAAATTTTGGTAATATTACCCAAACATTATTTTGAAGAAAAAAAGTTCCTATATAAAGAGTTGAGCAAATTATTATTTTTCATCTAATGTGAATGCTACATTACATGTCGGATGATGTCCGGACAACATGACGACTTCGGAAAGACATTTGGAAGACACATTGATTTCGAAAATATACCCGGACGACACGATAAATTCCATAGAGCTACATGCATGCCCACAAGTTGATATTAATGCAATTTTGTCATAATCATCTAATGATCCCTACGTATTCTCAAAATAGTTATATCGTCCACGCATATTCCGACATACATTATAACATTTATTCTAGATGAAAAATTAATTTACTCGACATCCTATATGACAAAATATTTTTTACACATTATCTAATAAATTTTTCTTCTAAACTATAAAGAAAAATTGCTCCTCAACTTTAGTCAAAATATTAATATAATCAAAATAATATTATAAAATTTGCTCCCAAACCTTTATCTCTCCTCTGACCTCACCACCACGCCTATGGATGACATGGGGTCCGAAGCCGACAGGTTTCGATCAGATTCGATCGGGTCTAGTTGAGTTTTTTTTTTAAATAGGGTTTGAGTCGGGTCGGATTAGATTTTTTAAAGGTGACGTTCTAGTCAAGTCGGATTCGGGTTTATGGTGAAAAATACTCTACCCAAAAAAAAATTTACCTTATATATTTATGAATAATTACAATAATATCCCTTTATATATTATTTTTTCAATTAAATCACTGTTTTTATAGAATAAAAATAATATATTTTTTATTATTTCGGGTCAGGTCGAGTCAGGGTGGAGGGTATATATTTTCGAGTCGGGTGAATGATATAAAATTTTCGGTTCAGATCGGGTTGACCCAAAACCAACCCATGCGGCATGGGTTATAAGTTTACAATCACAGGTGTTGGAACACTTTGTCTACTAGCATCTTAAACCTGATTTGCTTGAAAATTATGTTTAACAACCAGGGCGTAGAAAAGCATAGCGTTCATAAATTATTTATGTATCGTTTGTATAACATTTGTTTATGTTTATTTATTATATTAAATAAATGAGTATGACCAAATTTTTTATGTTGATTTAATAAACGAATGGACACGAACACAAGTGTGTTCAGTTCATTTATGTTTACGAACAATATCGTATATAAGCTTATTTCTCGACTCATTTATAAGCTCGTTTACTCGATTCTCATTTTCTTTATCTTTTTATACATTTTAAATATTGATGAATATAGAGACTAAATTGAATATAAGGTGAACTTTTAAATTCAAACTGTGAAACCTAAGAAACTTTGTACATTTTTCTTTGCTTACAAATAGAAGGATAAAAAGAGATTATTGGTTGTTGAACATTCAATTACCGTTAAACGAATATATTTGTGAATATTAAACCAACATGTTCACAAAAACTAAACAAATTAATACGATCACTTTAAAAAATAAATAAACGGGCACAAATATAAACATAATACTGAAATTTAAATTGAACATAAAATACTATAAAAATAAACAAAAGAGCACGAACACAATTTTATTTATCCAAAGTCATTTCTTTTACACCCCATTTTGTAATTCTAATCAAACATTTTGTTGTAAAAGCCTATGTTAAAATTGGTACCCAAAATTAGAATCCCTTGTTTTGAAGAAAAAACAAATCGAAATGACTAAAATCTCCTCAACATATACCATTTCCCCCTTACTTTACTCACTTTCAATTGGTTCCCAATTTTCATTTGGGTTTCAATTATATGTTAATAGAATTCAACATAATGAAGTTTACATACTATACACAATGATTTAGAGAAGTATATAAAGGGATCAACATGAGATTGCTTTAGGGACGAATTTGTAACAACAGACAAATTGGGATGTGTAATTTTTGGGTTTTTTTTTTACTTTTAATTGTCGTATTATTTTGGGGAGTGGGACCCATTGCAATATAGTTTTGGCTGATAAATATCTTGTGGGTCCCACTGATGGATTCGGTAGTTGAGGGAATAGTTTTGCGTGGGACCAAATACCCATCGTACAAAAGTGTGATCCGATCTCTTATTAAACCGTTAAACTCATGAATACAAAATATGTGGTTTGTACAAATTAATTGTATTATCACTTAATTATTGTTATTTTTTTTATTTTGATCCTTGATCTTTAATTTATTTTTCATCCATCAGATGATGAGATCGATCATATTATGATCGAAAACAAATTTATTAAATTAAAAAGGTTAAAGTTAAAAATGCCTTATTTAGATGGAAACACGTGTCATTTATGATGTATGTCTCCGTCTAATTGAGATATTAAATTTATTGGATTAATTTAAAATTTAAAATTAAATTGAGGGAATGTGCAAGTACTGAAAATTAAATATATTAGTTTTATTAACAGCCATGTAGCATCCTCAGTTAAATGTTACTGCGAATGACTTTAATGAAATAATTAAATAATTTGATTGAAAATGATAAAATATCTATGATCAAACTAAAAAGAGACGATGATTAAGTAGTTATGTGTATAATTTGCTCTAAAAATTAATATATAAGTTGTTCTTTATATGTTATATTTATTCTATAATTTATGTTTGAAGTTTGCAATTATTTTTTTAAGGATAAAGTTTACAAATGATCATTAAGTTATATTAAAATAATATTTTTAATAATTTAAAATTTGAAAATTATAAATTTCATCGAAGCATTATAAAATAATTATTATATATTACAAGATAACAATAGATTTTGATAAATTTAATTATCAATCTATAACCTTTTAAAAAATTAAAGATTATTTGTATATTTCAGAATTTAGTGACCGAAAAATTTATCTCAAAAAAATTAATCACCATTTATATACTTTGTTTTTTTAATGTCACAATTAGTATTTGAACAACCAAAAATAATATCTTATTAAACATTGTTTTTGTAAAGTACTTTGAAAATTCAAAATAATTTTAAAAAATATATATAATTTATAATTCCTACTTTTAAAAATACTTTTTAATTTAAAATTATATTTCTTATTATTCAAGGATGAATTATTTTATTATTTAGTTTTCTTTATCAAAACATAATCATAGATTTAACAAGTTCTTTGTAAACTTGAGAATTATGTCTCAT